ATTGTTCCAATCAGTGTTGTCATGAGCTACCCGCTCTCGAACACTGTGCATAGCGCAGAATCGTTACCGATCATGATGATAAGAGATAGCAACTTTTTAGATGACCCGCTAAAAGGTGAACCTTTGGGGCTAGTTTCGACGTAGGAGTCACGATAGAGGTTATCTGATTGGGCGTAAGTTAGTACAGTTGTGTATTCACTTCAATCTTTAGACACCATTTCACATTGCAAAGCAAAGCATACAACTTATAAATGAAGTATTTTCGCTAACGTTGATGTTGAAATTTGTGGAGTTTCGCCCGAAAATCGAGCAGCTTCCCTCTGTCTTAAAAATACCAGAAAATCGTACACACTTCCTTCTGTTGTTTGCCGGAAAAACAGCATCACAAAATGGGAGATCTAAGGCGTACATATTGGCTCACACACGATCTTTGTTTTATGTAGTGAAGAACCCGAGAACGGGAAAATTATCCACTAAACAAACATCCCAAAGTACTTTGTCATCATAATTCATGTCACATCAAGCCCCCTAAAAATTGTATGCTCCCAAAGGGTTAATTGTAACTCACATGATAAACTGATGCGAATAGGCTGCTAAAAAGCAGCCTAACATAAGGACTATTGCGGGATGATGAGTAATCAGTTACATCGACCCGAAGCCAAGGGATGGGCAACAGAGCACAGCTGAAGGATACCGATCGCGTTTCCAGGTTATGGATAGAAGAACAACCACTTTGGTACTTAACCGTGAGTAGGTGAGAGCTACCCCAGCAAATAAGCGATTTCGGACGGTCAGCGGCAATGCTCGAGGATGGGATAGGGTTTCCGGTCGGCAATCGATATCCCTTTCTTTCTTTCTTTCTTCTTATTGGGATTTGTGTGCAAATTTGAGTGTCAAACCTATGTACGCGGTTTATATGATCTCAGATCCATACCCTCACTTCGATTAATTCTTTAAACAATCTTTCCAATGTGAAGAGCCGTCCTCTTGATTCTGATTTCATTCTCCGTTCCACCAGATGTGCCGATTGCATTTTCAGATTCGTGGAATCCCTTCCTTTGGACAATGCAAAATACGCAATATGCAAAACAAAAAGCAGCACATTGCATTATTGCAGATCGACGAAGGTAGACTCGACCACTTCGTTTGTAGTGTTTCCAATCCTGAACATGTCAAGTCCATCGACTGACGCTACGTCATTATCGACATCACAATGCACTTAACCCTCCCAGAGTTACACAGCTTCACGTTTTCTGATGTATCACACGTTTGACTTCATTACACTTTCGCATAAATAATAATTGGTAAAGTAAGCATAATTTCGAAGGGACATCACCTCAGATCAACCCATCAGCTTGCGCAACTACATCATTGCCCGTGATTTAGCAGGCGATTGTAGTGATCCCTTACATAATGGGCCTTGACCAAGGTGTCGGCATTCAGAGATTCTTAAAAATAACACGAGGCCATAGGACAGACTTGGGTTTGGGGGATTATTCAATCTGAAGTAAAAGTGACCTTAGAGATGGAAAACCGGTTTTCTCTTCAAATTGATAAAAAAATCTGAAGGTGGTAAAGACGATATAAGGAAAATCCAAAGCCTCCGCTTTTAGCGGATCATCCATGTCCGGCTTTGGCAATTAATTTGAAACTATTGTCTACTGAATCTCAATTGTGTTCAAAATATACCTTACAGTTCAATGATAGCAACTGCATACACGACATCTAACCCAACCAACAAAGTCCACTCTCCCGCTTTCATTATGCACACCGATTTCCTGTAAGGACATTTCCAAGTGCACGACAGACTTGATCTGTATCCGAGGCAAATGATGTTCTTACCGTAATTCTGCATATGTTTGACGATGGTTTTCTTTTGATTTCTGCCGGTAAAATGTAAAAATTGTACTTTTCTGATTTCATTCAATCGCGGTTACACTGTGTGCATTAATTGGTCTTTCGATGTTCAGCAACAATTACAAAACCGGATAGATGGCTTGTTATCAAAAAAAGCTAGTTTCTTGAAAGTGGATCAAGTGATTACTACTCCCAAATTCATCCTGCCAGTGCTGTTGTTTGCGTGTGACAGACCAACAGTTAAGAGGACTTTAGACGCTTTANCAATTATCGATCCAAGTTGGTGGGTTTGACGCCGGATCAGTTTCCCATCACAGTTTCACACGGATGCATTCATGGTCCAACGACAGCTGTGCTTAAGAACTTCGGATCAGATATCACTGTGGTCACTTTTGAAGATAAATCGCCCCCAGTCCCGGATGCAAGTGAGTCTGTTGTTTCTTTTTTGTTTCATGCTCTAGAATTCGAGGCGTAGTCCTCTTGTCGAACTCTGCGTTCCTTGTCAATCCTGAGTTCACTGAGCAGTTCTGGAGCTACGAATTCGTGGCATCACTTTGAAATCTCCACTCCGTACATTGTTAACCTTTAGACTAAAAAAACGTCAAATATACGCTGTGCAGTGTCTTTCTTAAAGCCAATATAAACTTGATACACACATGTTTGAATTTTCAGCATTGTGCATCGTTATAACTGCGAATTTTCTGAACAAAAATGAAGTTTAATAATAAAAGTCGTGGAACGTAAAATTTATTGAGCAGGTAAACGCGCACGAAGTCCATTAGTTACTTTTTTTGGGTCGACAAGAAGACGCGATAAATATGGACGAACGGAGCTACGGTAACAGTATGGGAATATAAAACTAGTTCGTGTGACGGATGTGGATATTGCTCTATACGGTTCATTATGTAAAGAACGTGACACGGTTATAAATGCATAATGGGAGAATTCATTGCGTATATCAATGTGTCTATTAATAATATTAACTACAAGAATCGCTAGGGAATCCACTGCATTTTGATAAATACTATAATGATTGTTTCAGAAGTATGACATCCTTCGCAAGGGGCCCAGAAGAAACGACTGGTGACCAATATAATCAGTAGGGAATGATCCAAGCCTTCTTACGGTACAGAAAGCACTTTTAGTCTACAGTAGCAAAGTGTAAGTCTTCTAATCTCACAAAACATCTCGTGGACGCACGTGAGTCATGACAGTTTGAGTTAAAAATACTCCAAGATGTTTCGTAGGTAAGGGATTTGGTAAGGAAGATGTTCACTATTCGTGATATCATGTGCGTTATCTGATAAAGCAAAAGCTTTTCTCTTTAAGTTCCACTATGCCAGTAGCGCGTACCTCTAACACGGGTTTTTTCTCCCATACGGCTCAGTGGACAACCAGAAATTCGATACGTCTAGGGAACGTATATCGTGCCGTCATGAAGAAATAGTAACGCGACGTGAGACGTTATACTCAATGAATTTTCCAAAAATGTTTTTCCCCTGTTGTTCAAATATACGATTATTGTACATTGTAAAAATAATACAGTTGCTAATGAGCTCGTTTCCGGTGATTCATCTGCAAGCTAATACAACACGATTTATATCAAAATGTTTAGTACGAGAGAAATCATGACGGAGTGTGAAGAAACTACATTACACCTTCATGACCGGATGTTGCTCACACACTCATTGGTTCGGGTCGTTAGGGGTGAATGGAAGGATGATTATGTCGTGTGTTGTGGTGATCATGGAAGACTGAGTGTTCTTACGAATGGCTTTTGTGAGCATAGGGGTGGGTGAGTGTATAGGCGGGTTCCAATCGCTTCCGCTGTGACTAAAACGCGACTCCTAGTTCCCTTATATCGGTAATTGCTAATGGAAGAGGGGGCGAAACGCCTCGACTCCCTAGTAAACATTTTGAGTTGATTTTTGCTCTGAATAATAGAGGACCAAGATCTATTTTATCCGGCTTAGTTTGATGTATCGACCGACGATTAACGAAATAATGCTTCTTTGTATTGCTACGGTCACCATCTGTTCGCTGCCCCAAGGTATTTGTGTTGTCACCAAAACCTTCTCTTTGAAGAATGGAATGAATCTGGCCTTTTCTTTTCTTCTTCGTTTTGTTTTCTTTTATTAAATATACAAAGATACAATTTTCGGGAAGTGAGAAGCGGCCAATCAAATGGCTGTCATTCAACACACAATGGGGAAATTCAGGCGGTGGCGGTGAGATTCTAACACACCCCTGGGGTGGTAATTTAGTGACGTTGCTACCACCGCCTGTCTGCAGTGTCCTATTAAACGACTCTGGAACTTGGTCTTTCACTCGTCTTTTGTGTGCCACCTGATGGAGGTGGCGTTGGGATAGAAATCACATCACGAATAGCAAAGCTAGGGCAGCTTTTACCAACATACGACCTCTGTGGGGCCACCCTGATATCCGACTGTCTCTTAAGGGAAGGGTGTACAAAGCCGTGGTTTATATTGTTATGCTTGACACTTGTGAGACCTAGCCCTTCTGCAATGAGAATGCTAATCGAATTTCCGTACCTGACCATCTACGTCTCCGAAGCATTGCTCGTGTCTGGTGGTAGCATTGGATGGATAATGACTAACTTTGTCGTCATGTGTTGGGTGCGGATAGTCGTTCTTTGAAAGAAGAAATCGCTCTACACGGGCTCTGATGGCTTGGTTATGTTCCGCTAATGCCTGCTCATCGACTACCTTTCCGTGCTCTCTGCACGTGCTGGGCAAGGCTGGAAAAACGTCAGTGGTCAAACCATGACATGGCGTAGCGGTGTGGAGAAACTAGCATCAATATGTGTACCTAGGGTCAAATAGAATCGTATGAGTATTCGTGGCCCCAGTAGATACCAAAATTACGAAAAAAACAAACAATTTAAAGATGTATGGGGTCAATTTCGGTGCCGCTGCGCACACTGTTGTGTCTGACCGCGGCGATCAAGTGGTACGTTTTACCGTCACATCATACATCAAAGGTCGCATGTTCAAATCCCATCGTCCTAATCAAACCACCCTAATTCATTTCCCTGTATAGCCTTTTAAAACACAATTATCTCTGCCGGAAAAATTTATACCCCGCGTCGTTTTTCGCTGCACGGTTGCAAAGCTATTCCTCCGGATGTCAAACACGACATTACGCACAACTCGTTTAAGTACCATCTGACATAAGGTCTTGTAAGTGATCACGGGGACTGGCGAATGGCAAAAATGGTCGAAGAAAATTCGGTTTTAGTGCAGAAGCGCATCAAATCTTGGTTGTTGTTGAAAGAAAAACAACGGCATTTGTTCTTTTTGATGATCTCAGCGTGATGTTTCGAACCAAATTTGAAAACTTCGAAATCAATTCTCCAAACAACGATCGAGATCTTCTAGTCTATCTTGTGTAAATCATCCACCTGCTTTACATCCAGCGGTTTTCTCGAAAATCCAAAGCATCTGTTCTTTACTGAAACAAAATACGGTCGTGCTGGGTTATTTTTTCTTCGCCATAGTTCACTATAGGTTGTTACCATTTTAACTTCCCCCGCAGACTTTGGGGAGAGCATTTTGCTCTTCCTTGTATGCTGTGACAGACCATGAAGTGTCGTCCTATGTGACTGATCTATTTTTTCACCGTGAATTTCCTTGTCGTTCACTCTTGCCCGTTAGGTCGTTGGAAAAGGGGCTACCAAGCTGTCGCACGTCATTACAAACACGCGCTGAATCGAATGTTTTTACAATTAAATCACTCAGCGTTGATCATCGTCGAGGACGATTTGGATGTGGCCAGTGATTTTTTCCAATATTTTGCCGGCACGCTTCCCTTACTCATGGCCAATCAGAATTTGTTTTGTGTATCTGCATGGAATGATAATGGTCGACCAGATTTGATTGACCTTAAACGATCGGACTTATTATACAGGTGAGAATTTTGTGTTTCATGGCGGGCAGTTTAAGATGGACATCAGTTTTGAACGGAATTTCTTGCCCAATGTGCCTTGTCCGCATCATTATAACATAAAACTTTCCGACCTCATTTGGGAATGTCAGGCAGGATAATTTGGTGACTGCGTTTTGTGTCTGCCATTTTACCCCCAAAATCGATAGATTATCTATTTCCTGTGTTAAAAGTTCATGTTTACTTGATGGGTAATGGTCAGAGTTAATGACACAATTCGAGTCAAACAAACCTTCACGAATGCCCTCTAGTTAGCAACAGAACGCAAAATGAATATTCCCACAATCGGAGTAGTTTTACTTATCCGACATAAACACAATGCATTTAAGTAAGCATTTACGGCCTACCCATGGATATGTGCAGATAATAATGGTTAATGAAATCTAAACGTCATACATATTCAGCTCAAAGATTTATTATTCTCGTGTTTAGATCACATTGATGTGACTCAACTTTCGCTCATCTGCCTCTAGCCTCCTTGGTTAGCCTGTGAGTTCCTCTGACTGTGCTTATCGGAGAAAGCATCTGATACACTTTGGCAAAACGTTTTAGGAAATCGATATTGGAAACCAGTTTTTTATTACACACTTTAGTGTAATGAACAGCAGACCAGGTAAACCCCATAGTCACGAGGACCTGCAGTTCGGTGATGGAAGTAGGTAACCTAAGCCCCTGGACTTGGAGTGGCGAACCGCATAAGGCCCCGATAGGTTAGGCGTGGTACTAAACCGGACGATAGCAGAGATGCCAACCACTATAGTTGGGTGACGGTGGTGGGACTCGAACCTCGGACCATATGGTTTAAAGCACGCCAGTGACAGCGACTAAACCACTGCGCCATCTCCACCGTGCCATTCATCATTAAAACTACTGTATGCCGATGTACAATTATCTCAGCTCTACCTTAGGAAAGTCCGGAAAGATTGTACAGCTGTCTCACCAACACTGTGAACCTATCGACCTAACTGAGTGTTGAACCCGAGCCATAACCCCTGGAAACTAAATGATCAACAAGCTTGCAAAGATGAGTTGTGCTATGTAGGGTGCAGACAAATTAAAATAGTCTGATGGGGTCAGCTGGGGATGCCACATGTGACATCCGTGGTTCGATCCTGAGTTGGATCGATATACTGACACTACTGATGGAAAACCAGCAAGGTCTGAACAGATATACCACGCTTCCGGGCTTGACAGTTCACTTTTTTCTTGTAATGCGTGTACGACGAAATTTGCCGACTTAAATCCTCTAGTACAACTTTATTTCAACTTTTTGAAAACCATCGTCATCATCTGTACAGGGTATACAAGTCATATACATTCTCTCTGTATGTGTTAAAAACAATGTGAATTTTCGGTAATATGGATTTTTTGCTATCTCTTCCATCCATCTGAATGCTGTAATTTTTCCGATTCTGTCATCCTAATACTCCAATTCTTTGCTGTTCACAGAACTGATTTCTTCGCAGGTTTGGGCTGGATGTTGCTACGCAGTTTTTGGTTGGAAATTCATGCCGGTTGGCCCGATATATTCTGGGACGAATATTTACGTAAGCCGTATGTCCGCAAGAATCGCGCATGTCTGCGACCCGAAGTAGGTCGCACTACCACATTTGGTCGAATGGGAATTTCACGGGGTCAGTTTTTCGACAAATATCTTAGCACAATGCGTTTGAATCATGATTGGCAAAATTTCGTCCAAATGAATTTGACCTATCTTCACGAGCCGGGCTATACGAAAGTGTGGCGAGAATCGGTGTACAACCGGTCGACGGAGATCTCATTGGATCGCTTTCTGCAAGGTGATTTGCCCAACATTTCAACCACACCTACTGAGCGAATTCGAGTGACCTATCATTCTCAGGCCGATTTTGATCGGATCGCAATTAAGTTAAACTTAATGCGGGACATCAAGTCCGGTGTTATGCGTAATGCGTTTGCTGGTGTTGTGCCAACGAAGTGGAAAGATCAGTGGATTTATATAGCCCCTCCATCCGAATGGACACAATATGATGAGTCATGGACATAAGGAACCAGTTTAAAGTAGAACTTTCTGTGATACGGTGAGAACCCGTTTCGCGCCACAAGCTACCTACCATCTTGTCTCGGCTTTTAATTGTTCCGTTTCAGGTAGCTCACCAACTCCCTGTCTTTGATACCAAAAAGAAAAACGAGTGCGTGTATTTAAAACTCGCTCGCTCGCTGCTACCATTACCACCTTGTTTTGCCTTCAAAACCCGTGGTATGCTTCAAAACCACCCGGTCTTTCCTACATCAGTTCATTGCAATATTCCAGATCCCGTTCCTGTTACATAAATCCATGTACTTAAGTTATTTTTTCGCATCGGCGTATGGCTGTATATATGAGTGATTTATTCCCAATCTGCAATCCGTCATCTGCAATTTCTTGTTGCCCCATTGTATGCTTCTATTCTAAGTCTATTGTGATAATATGATGTCTTTATTGTTTTTTGAGTTGATTGACCCTTCTCGTTTCTGCAGAACTTTTGGAGAGTATGGTTAGAATAAAGTGTTTTCGGCTAATCCGGTTTCCACCATTGACAATAGGCGTAATAAAATCACAAAGGGTATTATCTGCGAACAGCAGCTAGATGAAAGTGTTTCACCACATGAATGAAATGCTATGGATTTTCTTAGCTCAAAAGGATGATAAAAGACGGTCATTGAGGTGATTTTCTGGTTTCGTATGCGTGATCAGATTGCAAACAAATAAAGATAACAACTCGATTTCGGCATGCCATGGAGTAAGGTTTACGTTCCCAAACGTGATCGACACAAATCTCACTGAGAGGCAGTTCATCTTTGTGCTGTATTCTAAAAAGTGTGCGTTGGGTTTCCGATCAACCTGGCTAAATACGTATGCCAATGTTTGGTGAATTGACGCAGATTGAACCGATGCTTTGCACGCCTAACTGAGCAAGGTGTGCTCATTGACTTGCCAGTTCTACTGATTGACCAGTTTAGTTGATTCATTTACTATCCAATGGTCAAACTGCGCGTTTCCGGAACCAGCTTCTGTCTGGTTTCATGGGTGCATACAACCGATAGTAATAGAGTAGGTTAAAACTGGTGTGCACTGCTTCCAGCGTGTTCGCTTTGTACAATACAATACAATATGGCACTTTCACGTTACACCTTGAATTGAGAATAGCAATTAGTCGATGATTTGATCTCGTACGTTTTTCATTCAGAATTACATAAATACATGCAGTAATCAGGGTTTTTCATGACGTCGCTTGACAAACAGATTGAATTGAGTAACCTTGAGAGGAGATCTGCGTATCAGTGTGGCAATGGATCCTGTTTTGTGAATGCAAATTCAATTGAGAATAAAGACTCATACAAGACCAAATCGGTTTGTGCTCAGTTCCTTCAGCCGTTGAAGCAGACCATGTATGCGCCATTCTGGCAGAATTTCGAAGCGCACACATGTAGCGAACAGTTTTGTAGCACCAGAAATGTCGGTCAGATCCAGTCTCAGCAGTTAGCCATACACATTACCACGGAAAGCGCAAAAGTGATTGAATGTTGTGCAGCGCCAGTTTTGTATTTTCACACATTACAGTGAATTCCTTCCTTATCTTGCTGACACAAATTATCTGGGAGAGTGACTATCCTAATGGTTCTTTTGCTTCCGCAAGATATTTTAGTAATTAATTAAATACAATAAAAGTAACCCCATAATCCAACGATACACTACCTGAGCTGATAAAGGGAACAGCCAAGTTAGGATCAGCTTGTTGATGCCACTTTTCCAGCCAATTATTCCATAGGTTGGAGATAAAACTGAACAAAGAAGAGTGTTTCACAGTGGTCCTGGTTTTTTTTGGTGGCGGTGGTGAGGGGGGGGGGTGCACATGACTACAGTTGGAAGTTGGGTATAGACGCTTGAAATGGGCCACCGGCCGTTTGTAAATTGCACCTAAGACGAATAACACCTGCGATGGGGAGAGAATAAGTAAGTTCAGTTGAATGGAAACCAAACTACTTTTGATAGAAAAAGGACAAGGGAGTGTCTGCTCAGTGGTGTACTAGTGACTACAAATTACATATTACGTATTGGTCGTCGATATAGCGGTGAACCCGATCAAAAAGAGAGGTGGACGAAGCTTCACTCCACTTGCTCAACCACCGTACACCGGGATGATAATGAATGACAATCTGAGGATATTGGCATGGGGTAAATCAGATATGCAGAACGCGAGTACCGTAGTTTGCGACATTCAGCCACATCATGGAATATCTATCCTCATGAAGCCGATCCATATAAATTTAACGATTATCATATTTTTCGGTGTATTCCGGTAAAAGGAATTCTCAAATCCGAACGCGGTTCCGGTTTGTTTGGATACGATGGACGGATAAAATATGCTGTTTCCACCTATTGTTTAAAGACAAGTGGCTCCAGAGTATAGTGCGGTAAACCGAGTAGATAAGCTTAGCCAAATGATGAAGGAAAAGTGATTCCGAACGGGGAAAAGTTTGGTTGATTTGGCCTCGATTGGGGCATGTACTGGTCGCATTCGACAGAACCGATCGAGTGAAAACTTTGCATGTAAATTTGCAGTGATGCTGGTACAACTAGTTCTTTTTGATTTTCATCAGAAAATGTACAATGAAGAGCGTAAAATTTAGGTTGACTTTCAAATAACGGTATTCAGCAACTAAGTACGTCAATACTTAACAGTATTCCGTTCGGATGAAATCCGTCGTTACTCATGGGTCGCTTTTATGTATAGACTTTGTTTCTCACCTCCATGCAAAATCCGTCCATGAGAAAGGTAAGATAATTATATTTAAGTAAGAGCATTCAACTCTGATGTCTACAACCATTTAATCTAAGGCAAGAATAAAACAGGCACAATTTCGAAATTACCTGAAACTGTTAATTAGTAATTTGGACCGCTTCTCAGGTTAATCGGTCGCATTGTATGACATTGGATGTTTTAAGAAAGTATTACACTTTCGCATGTGAAACGAAAAAAATACATGGTCTGTGTTGTAGATGGGTAGCTTAGTTGAAAATAACCTCAACGGCTAGTGAAGTAGTGTTTAAATAGACGTGATTACCAGGTTCGTTTAAACAAGGCATAGCTGTGAATACTGTATCATGACCTCAAGACACCGCTAAAGAACAAGCTTTGATGAAGCGCATATTCCGGTCAATAATGAACCACACGTTACCTGTTATTGCAGCTACAGGTTTTGCACATTCTTTTTTATTTGGTAAACATCGGGTTTTGTTGTCCTTTGGCGAAACTCAGACAGCAACATAAAAATAAATGGTTCCTTCAGCTGCGAGACAAACATCATATGGTCCATACCGCCTCTCGCCAATAATTGTATTCCAAACGTGACCAAAAGTTGTCCGGTGAAAACAACCCCTAACAATTGAAGACTAGCATCTATAACACTAGTGACGTTATGACAGATGCGTTCCATATAACTTACATAGAATGTACCGAGAGCATGCAAAATCTCCTAATGCCAACCAATCGTAATCACCAGTTTCCGTATCTTCACTCACACGACAAACCGTATGCTGAAGCATCTCTAATGGCGTTAATTTTTTCCTCGTTTCTGCGGCAAACTTAATCTGTGAGCATTGGTGAGCAACAGTATAGTAGTGAGACACAATAATATACAAAGGTAAAAGTTGATACCTTTTCTATCTGTTGTAAGCGTTCAAACTCAAGCCAGTGCTAAACTATGAAAAAAATCTTAAAAATGTTCACTGAAAACACGCAATCATTTTCAAATCTGCTTGTTACGGTTTTGAGAAACAGCGTTGTATAGGAAACCATTCTCTCACTTTGCTCCTTTCGACTTTGTGTCAACTGTCAGGCGTAATCATTCTCAATGTCCACCTGTCAAGAACGCCAACGATATTATGTTTGGTATTCGTACAAGAAAGGCTCCGTCTGGCTTTAATGCCCTTAATGACCCTTCGAAGTTTTCAGGTGACTCACTTTCCATAAATTCAGTATGCTCATAACTACATTTTCCCATTACCCGAATTTCTACACAGACGGCTGCTTCGAATTATGACAAAATAGAATCTTCCGGGCAGTGAACTCCAGATACAAATTTATTTGTGGTCTGGTTTGTTTACGGTAAGATTGTTCGAATCTGAATCAAAGTCCTGATATGGTGGGAGGCTCTCGAATGGAGTAATCAAATAGTCATCTACCGCTCCTTTGGTTATTTCATAAATCCAGAACGCGGTGTCTGGTTGAGGATAGTTGTTTTTTATGAATAGCGTACAACAACATACAACAACAACTTTGGTTGTTGTTGGCGTATACAACAAAATATCTAATTTCTAATGAGTCTTCAGATTACCCACAGGCACATGGGATGGTGAATGTAGCGATCCACTGTTAGATGCACATTCTTGTAGCTACCATACTGAAAAATAGCAATTCGCTCCGAAAGGTCTTGCTCATTTTTGACCGTTGAAAAAAAACCGACAAACGCTTCTTTTTGCGAGCTACTCACAAGTGTGAGTAGTATCTCAACAGTTGTTGTCGACCTAAGCAACTGACTGATTGTCGTTGAAAGGCACATCGGGACAAACATGAATTTTCAGTTCTGGCCAGTCCCGGAATGAGCTGGTTGGCACGGTCGTAACGCACACGCCCACACCCACACTACGAGTCCAGAGTTAAACGCCTAGACGAGACGGTGGATATGAACTACTGATGTTGATAAGAGAGAATCTTCAATCCAGTGCAGTTCCTCAGTTTGATACTCGCATTTTCGATCCATAACGCGGGTAACGACTAGTCCTATGTAAGCTAAATACTATTTGAGACGGACTCCACAATCACGAATCTCCGACAAGCTAGAATATTTTGTTGGTAAAATGAAGATTCACTTTTTACTAATGTACCACTTTATGAAACAGTTGATTTTTTGTGCGATTATATTTCTTCAAACAATTTTCAACTTAATATTCCTCTTGAATACTTAAGAGAACTTATTCTTATATGTACAGAAAACATTCGCTTTGAGTTTGAAGGGGCCACATACAAACAGATCGATGGCGTGGCAATGGGCAGTCCATTGGGGCCCATTCTNCATTCTGGCAGACGTTTTTCTAGGCATGATTGAGAAAAAGCTATGTGATAATACTTCCAAGTCCACCCTGTACAAACGTTACGTGGACGATATTTTCATTCTTACAGATTCTGATCATTTTAATACACGTTTGCAAAAGTTTAACTTGGTCCATCCAC